ACAATGGTGTGGTTGCAGGCAGAGCCTCTTGGGCATCATCCCAGACAGGCTCGTGAGTCTGGATTACCCCAGGGCCAGGTGGGTCTCCTGGACCTTTCTTCTCCTGGACCTTCCTTCTCCAGGACAAACTAGGGGGTGCGATTTCCCCATAGCGAGCATCTGTGTGAGGCTTCTCCAGACTTGCCTGCCTGCTGGCAGATTCTCTACCTCCTCCACAGCAATTTCAGATCTTCGAGGGAATTCCTAAAACTCCCCCGTGGAATCGGGATGCAGCCTTCTGCTGCAGACGTGCTGCCCCGCCAGTGTGTTACCCCTGCACGGGGCGTTGGCTCCTCTCTTTGCCATGCAAATGCATCAACCATGGAACTAGAAAAAAAGTATTTATGGATACATCAAAACTCAGTGCTACTGCCTATGGTACTGCTGTGTTTCTATCTCACCCTACTGTGCTTTGTGGGACCTGCCAGAAGAGGGCTGGAGACTCCCAGCAGATCCCTGAGACTTCTGATAATCATCAGAAAAACTGTGCATGGGTCTGATGCCAGCACAGCCTGATGCAACACCCGCTGCACCTTCCCTCCTGGGATGTGGCTGGCTCTGTAGCCTGCACCTCTCCTTATAGCAGGCACTTGCTTTAAAGAGACTTCTGTTCTTCCAAAAATGCCCTGCAGAGTGAGCCCATCACAGCTGCCCGGCCTAAAAAAATCACAAGGAGAGCAGGAAAGCAAAACATCACACCCTGCGAGGTGGCAAGAGAAACAGGGAAAAGCAAACACCCACCGGCACACGCTGCCTGTGCCCAGGCTCGTTAAGTGTCAGCTCTGCCGCCAGCCCTAATGAGCTGCCAAGCCTTGGGGAGCGGCCTCAGCACTGGCAGGTCTGTGGTCACTGCATTTGTTGGTTTGTCCATGCTTTGGGCTGCTGTCCGTGTGTCCTCCCAGATGGACAGTAATGCTGGGGAAGGGGAGCCTGGTGTGTCCCCCCCCATTCACAGCTTGTCTGCAGCTACTGGGTGCAAAATCCTACATTTTTGCCTCTTTGCAGGCAAATGTGTGAGTGATAAGATGCAAAATCTTTGTGCACTTTCCCCAGAATCTCTTCCTGGCTGTGCACCGTCCCCACCCTGCTGGTGATGCCACCCCAGGCCGGGGCCAGGAACCGTGGAAGTGCAGCTGAGGCCAAGCCCCGGCGCAGCTCCCGCTCCCTCCTCAGGACTTTCCTCTCGAGCAGCTTTGAGGAGCGAGGATGAAAGGCGGCACGGTGGAAACACAAAGCTTGCCTGGTTTGTTTTATTTATGATTGGCGTCTGCTTAAAAGAAAGCCGGCGTTATCAGCTCCAGCACCGCTGGGTCGAATGAGTAAATGAAAGAGGAGGGTTTCGCCTGTGATCTAGAGCCCGAGTTTGCTCTTATATGGGCAGTCTCACCAGGCCTTGCTTGCTGCCACCTTGCTGCTGCTCGTGTCATGGGGACAGCCAGGCACAAGGCAGAGGGTGGGGGAGTTGGTGCTGAATCCCCTCACTTTCCTCATTTCCTTGGCCTGGGGATGCTTCACTTGCTGTGGCACCAACCTTTTTTTTTTTTTTTTCATTTTAACCATCTCAGCTTTGAGAGCCAAGACCTCATTTTTTCTTGCTCAGTTCCCCGTGGAGGTGGTGGTGAAGCTGCATCCAAGCAGGTCCTGCTGCTCCTGACAGGTGCTGGTTGGGGCACAGCCTGTGCCGGTCCCTCCTCACATCACGCACACCGCTCCCTGCCACGAGGGGCAGGCAGAAGGCAAACACACCGCTTGGCACGGGCTGTGGTTTATTGCCAGGGTTCTTGGAGCCAATATTTGATCACCCGTAAATAATTGCCCTGGCTGTGTGTGCCGGGACCTGATTTATCCTGCTCCCTGGTGATACCTTCCAAACTCCCCGGGGAGACATCTGCCTCCCTCTCCCCTCTGATAGACGGGGAGGAGGAGAGCTGGTGCTGGGCCTCCTGTGCTTGCTGTTGTCAGCACATGGGTGCTCTGCGTGTCCTCCTGTGGTGGTCTCTGTCTTGGAGCTAAAGCCATGGCAGAGCCTCAGGAAGGAGGGGGGAGAAGTGTGTAAAGCCTGGACACGGTGAGTTAATTCCTGCTTCCTGCGGATGGAGTCAGGTTTGGCGAAGCCCCTTCTAACCCCCGTAGCCTCATTGCTAAGCCTTGCCAAATCAGAAGCATTCCTCAGCGGCTTCCCAGGTGAGGCGAGCCTTTGAGGGCCAGCTTTCCTCGGTCTGATTTGGTGCTGAGTGATTTACTGCCCCAAAACACCGGGGGAGGAGGCACAGCAGCAGAGGGGCTGCAGCTTGGCCGCAGGCTTTGCTCCTGTGCTCAGCTATGCACGCAAGTAGCGGCACGACGGTGTCTCGCTAATGTTTTTCCCCCCCTGTGCCAGCTCCTTGGACAGGGAAGACCGCATGGCAACAGGCCTGAGCACGGTGCAGGCAGCCACGCTCCGCATATCAAAGGCTGGATTCCTCCCCGGGGAGCAGCGCGTGGGATAGAGCCGCAGTCACGCGCCTGCAGCTGGCTCGGGGAAGGTGCGGAGGGGAGGGAAGCCCAGAGAGGGGTGGAAAGGGTGGAAGGAGGGAGTCGACCTGCGAGGTTTGGTATGGCCTGGGGTTTGGAGCCACTAGATGCAGGTGCATCGCGTGTGCTGGAGTGCTGAGGGCTCTTGGTAGGTTTCAGGGGGATGGTATGGGTGTGGGGATGTCAGGATTTGTATAGCCCAACAGCTCGTTGGATAGGGTTACATACAGACCTTCCTGTGCCCATGTTTGAGATCCTCACCAACCCTGAAACAGCTGTCCTACAGGCTGGGTCATACCAGAGGTTGACTTTGGGGTCAGATGGTGACTGACCCCAAAGGAGGCAGCTCAGAAAGCTCACAATGGGAGAAAACTATGAAACTATCAGCGTCACAACCTGCTCAGCCCTGGGTGACCTTTCCTAGACACATAAATGTGCTAATAATACTTACCCAGGAGGAGGACTCTGGGTTTGGTCAAGGAGAAGGGTTTAGGAACAGAGAGAGTCAAAGCTGTGGGGTCCAGAGCAAGTCCTTCCTCTGTCTGAGAGCATCTGAGCCACTCCTTGCACCACCACTGGTCTCTTCTCTTGGCCCTATTGCACCGAAGCCACCCATGAAGGCGTTTCCCATTGTGTCAGTGTCATAAACTGACCATGGTCTTTGCAGACATTTGTAGGACCATAATCTTTGTAGGGCTCATGCTCATGAGACATGGGAGATGAACACATGGGAAGGGTGTTTTTGGCTTGGCAGGCCCTGTTGCACATCCGAAGGGGACCAGCAAGACTTTGTATGTGTCTGCCTTAGGCCACCAAGTTATCAAACCCTTGAGCTTGCAGACTTGGTCCTCTCCACATGGGCCCTGACCTTTGCCAGACAGGGCTGGCTGCTGGGGTGTTGCAGCAATCGCAGAGGCAGCTGGGGAGGAGGATGCAGCTTTCTGCTATTTCAGAGAGCAGGGAGGAAGAGGAAGGGCTGCTGACGAAGACTGAAACTCAAAAAATGACGACGATGACAAAAAAAGCTTCTCCCGTTTGGGGAACCAAATGCACTTGTTTCCTGATGTGATCTGGATAGCTCAGACCGAGAGGGGCAGGGGCAGGTCACTGACTTGCAACTTCTTGAGCTGGGTGAGTGGCTTTTCTGGTTGGGAAGGGTCAAACCTCACCAGCCCCACTCTTCTCTGGACCTGCCCAAGGGCTGTGAGGTCTCTTCAGCCAAAAGCCTAAATCCCTGACTTGGATCCCTTCCCTCCTCTCTCCTGGCAGCCCTTAATCATGCCATGGTGTGGGGTCTGCTACAAGCAACAGCATCCTTGGGGTGGCATCTCAGAGCCCAGGCTGCTCCAGGGGAAGCCAAGGAGGTGGCAGCCAAGGGCACCACATTTTTGGGAGATGTGGGGACACATAGAATAGGGGAAGGATTAAGAAGGGGAAGCGTAACCTTCCCTCTAGCCCTGTTTGTTGCTGCTCTTCCTGCTGCTTGCTCTTCCAGCTCCCCCTGGGAGCTGTGCTGCTCCCTGCCCCATCCCACAGCGAGACACTCTGACCCTGCTCCAGCTTCTTTTTGCAGACAGTAAAGTTGTTCTTCTTGAGATGCACAAAAAGACAATTGCTGCCCCAGGGACACTGTGGTCAAGGCGAGGAGATGCCACGTTATTTGGTTTCTTCTTTATTTTCATACTGGTTTTTATAGATAGTTCCAGCCACAAAGTCTGGAGGCCAGGTCCAGCTTCCAGTGCCTTTGGTTAGGCTGGATCTAGGCGTCTGATTCAGTCCCTCTCTATTTCTGGTGCTGGGCTTATATATAATTTATTTCTATATAGTTACAAATATAGCTGTGCAGAGCGTGAGAGTTTCAGCAGGGAGGAGAGGGGTGCTTTGTAAATGAAGCATCTGTGTGTGTGAGATTTCAGCGAGAAGAAGGGATGTAAACTGGCAGCAAGAGCACGGGGTAGGAGGATGCCACATGCCCTGCGAAGGGTTTAACCCAGAAAAGGTTCAACCCAGACCCATCCACATCTTGACTGCAGTTTTGCTGCTTGTAGAGCTGATCTGGGAAGTGGGGTTGAAGCCCATCTGTATCTGGGCAGCAGCTCAGAAGTCAAAGCGCGGGAGTTGAGGACAGATCTGCAGCCCATACCCTTCTTCCCACTCCCACCATGTGTGATAATTTTCCAAGCCTGTGCAGGGAACAGGCATGGAGGGAAATGTCCATCTGCCATGGTGAAGGACAAAGCTCCCACGGATGGGATGGGAGAAGGGCACAGGCCCCATCTCCACAAGTGGTCTGCATTAGCTCTGATCTGCCTGAGCTCAATCAATCCTGTCTTGTACTTGGTCCAGATTGTAGCCTGGGGAGAGTTTACCAGACCGTGACTCTCTGCTCCGCACATCCTCTGCTTTTCCTCCTCCTCCTTCAGATCTGGCTGCTGGGAGGAATCCTCTTTTTTTTTTTTTTTTTTTTTTTTTTCCAAGAGCTTTTACCAAACTGCAAGGGGTTTCCAAAACATCTGGAACAGCTCATGGAGCTAGAGTGGATTGTAACGCTGAGGGTGGAAATGGGGTCATGGAAATGGAGGCACCCTGTTGGATTAATGCTCGAGAGCGGCACTTGGGAAGGCTTGGGGTCAAATCCTCACCCCACTCACAAAGGAAAAGTTGGAAAAATCCCAAAGAGAACCCGGGAGATGTTTGTCCACACTACAAAACCACCGCTTGTCCCCAGGTCCTCCTCCCTGGGGACTAGGTAGGACTGGAGAAGCTCTCTGGAGAAGGTCCCACCAGCGCTCACTGGTGCCCATTGCCTTTGGGAATGGATGTGGCACTGTGCTGTTAAAGGGCAGCGTGGGTGTTTTGGTCTTCCAGACCCAAAATTTTCTCCTCCGTGGCAGGCTGGGAGGAGATCTAGAAAGAAGCCACTATTTTGGAAAGGGCAACCGGGCCCCCTGGGTTATTTGGAGCCTGCCAGCTTGACAGCCATCACGGCTGAAATACTGAGATGGCTTTTAGAGAAAGCAAAGTGAAGTTAATTAAAGGGAGAGTGTAACTGATGCCAATCCCAGAAGATGATGAAAACAGATCTCTACTAACTTCTTCATTTCTACAGGGCTTGCATTTGGGCTGATAAAGATGATACTGTCAATGCAGTCGGCCTGCTCAAGTGATTTGCTTTGGCGTCTGGCCACAGCACAAATGGAGCTGGAGTGGAGTCTACTGCTCAGTTTGATATACAGATTGATAAACTTTATTGATATAAAACCACCATGGCATACCTCATAGGAGGTCAAAAGTGGCTGCCTGTGGGCTGCAAAATGCTGCTGCCATGGGGAGTTGTGGTCACGCAGCCACTTTTCCGGTGGGGTTGGATGAAAATCAATTCCTGAGCCTCCCAAGTTTTACTTGTTTGGTGGAGAAAATAAAACCATTTAAATATTATTTATAAATGGTTCTTACAGGGTAAGCCAGACTGCTCAGCTTGGTACAACCCTAAAGCACCTTTACTTAGTACAACCACGTAGAGTCCTACATCTAGGAATGAAAAGGGAAGATGCATTTATAGAACAGGACAACCTTTGTCTTGGGGAGCAAAGGGTATGAAAGCCATGGCAGAACCGTGAGTTTTAGCCTCATTTTAGTGGGACAATCCCTAAAAACTTTTCAGTGGTCTCTCAGAGGTAATCCAGGCTTGCCAGAGTCCCAGGTCTGTGGCTGCAGCAATTATGCCCATGTCCCTGGTACCACGCAGCAGCCATAGGGACAACGACCCGCCTTGGCTTTGGGGAGGCAAGGATGGAGGTTTTATTTACTGTGGCTGTAGGATAGCATCCTGATGGATTTAAGCTGGGACCCTTTACCCCTGCACGAGCAACCATGAAAACTTTAATTTGTCCATGGAGCATTTGGGAGACAGGGCGAGGGGCTCTGGCATGCTGCAGCGGGTGCCGCCACCTGCCAGCCTGCAGCAGGCTGGAGGGCTGTGAACCCCGCCGATGGCCTCAGGCTTTCCCATCCAGGCGAGAAAACAAGCTGTGAAGAAAGTAAACATGTCACTGAAGTATTTTCCTTTCAGATGGGTTGATCCTTCCTAGCTCAAAGAAAGGACACGAGGGAGCTGCTGGCAGACTGGAGCACACCCTGACTTCACAAATATTTGAATAACGTTTACCAGGCTTTGCAGTACGCGTTATTCCAAATTAAATTACAAAAAATAAAATAAAATTAAATAGTGCTACTGGACTCTACCAGATGTGATGCCCTCAGGTAAACCTCCCTGCTCGCTCAGCCCCAAGCTCCAGCAGCTCCATCACCACCGATTGTGGCCTGGGATGAATCCTTGCAGGGCCAGCAGCTCGGATGGGGCTGAGCCACCTCCATCACACCCTGCAGATGCCTGTGCAATGCCACCATAGAGCTGGGTGCCGTCTGCCCTCTTGCTTAGCACACAGACGGGTCATTGTTTATGTAGGGCCTCCCTAAAGTGCCGTTGTTATTGTGCTCTCCCTCCCGTTTCCTGTGTTTGAACCCCTTATCACAGCCTTGTCCTGGGAATATGTGCTCGGGAGGGTGCGTTTTATGGGTTGATAAGCTTTTATTGCGACCGGCCTTATTTGTGAGATGTCTGGAATTAAGAGGTGGGGACCCTGGACCTGGGTGGAGGCTGAGGGGGCGAGTGGTGGCCGTGTCTTGCAAGCAGGCAGCTGCCTGGGGACAGCTCCAATGGGGCAGAAGGGGGTGTCCCCCTGCCCCATCCACACCTTGCATCCCTCTGTGCACCTCCATCACAGCCCACAAACCTCTCCGACTGTGCGGGCTGAGATCTTCTCTTGGCAGGGGATTGCTTTTTTTTCTTTTTTTCAGCATCAGTCTAGAAATAAATTGGAGTGACCAATAATGGCTTTGCCAGGTGCTGGCTCCCTCTGCACTTTCACTCTGAGCATGCCGTTGTGTGTGTGTAACAAACAATGATTAAAGAGCTTTCTTAATCCCATGACTGAGCTACAATGGGACAAAGCTGTGCCCTTCCTGCCAGCTCCCAGTGCGAGGGGAACAGCTCGTGGCAAGCTCTCTCCCCAGGCTCCCCACTTTTGCAACCATGTCAGAGTGTTTCCAACCTCCTGTAGCCCCAAAACTGCCTGGGGAGCATAACACTGGACAGGAAGATGTTTGTATGCCCTCTCTTCCAAGCAGTTCCCAGTCTCCTGTGTCACCACAGGGACCCAAAATGATCTTCCCCGAAATCCATGCTGCGGTCTGAGCTGCACAAACACAATAAAAGTGCTTTCAGGGAGTGCGGCCTTCTTGCTTCATCCATTGGTCTGACACAAGATATCACCTTGTCCAAAATTCACCTTGTGCTTGCCCAACCAAAGGCACCAGAGCTGATGGGTGCCCTTTCCAGATCTTCTGCTTCCTGGGTGCCAGGCACCCAGATATTTCCCTGGCTGCTGTCTAAATCACAGGGGACAGAAAAACATCCCCAGGAGAGATGCCCCCAGACACTTGCTGACCATGGCTGCGCTGTCAGTGTCCCCTGGGGCGTGTGGCTGCCCTGGACCTGGCACCACCAATTATTCCAAGTATTTTGGGCCAACAGACCCAAACTGCAGCCTCCTACTAGCAACCAGGTATTGCCCTACATGCTCACATACATGTGAGGTTGCATCATAGCTGCTTTTTAAACTGTGAGGCTTTTGAAGTGGAAGCCAACGTTTGTTGTTGTGTCTGCGTGGAGCCAAGTCCCTCACTGGGGTGTTTACGAGAACCTCTCCTGTTTGCAGGGGCTCACCTCGCTTTTTGGAGCAAGGGGGTGATCTGAGCAGTGTTTGGTCAGGCTGGCAGGATCTGGGACTCCAACCACCATGAAGGAGGCCAAAAGACAGTTACCTGGGAGGGATCCCAGCTCTCTGTTCAGCTGAGATAACCAGGATCAGGATGACGTGGAGGAGAAGAGGCAAAATTTTAAAAGACGGTTGTGCTCTAGAATAAATAGGAAAAAAAAATAAAATCTTTGAACCAGCCATACCATCCTTCGTCCCCAACCTTTGCTGCAGGGAGATGATGCTCCATGCTAGGAAGGAGGAACCCTCAGCATCCCCAGGAACAGTGGGTTTACCATGGGTTTCCACATTTTTGGCTCATTTGGGGCTTGCAGAGCCCCTGTGTGACCTCCAGTGATGGCTCCTTGCTTGCTGGCAGGGGTCAGCAGGAGCGGGGATAGCTCCGTGTTCACCGCTGAGTTTTGGCAGGGCAGCACTTTGCAGGCACCACGTTGGCTGCTCCTTCTCCCACACCCCACATTTCCCCACATCACCCAGCCGGGCTCTCTGCTCAGCAAAAAACACCCCAAAGGAGAGGGCAAGCAAGCAGCAGCGGGAATCACCAGCAGCAGCCGAGCAAAGCAACCCCAGCCCCAGCGCCTCTCCCCGGGAGGATGCAGGATGAAAGCACGGAGCCCGTTTCCAGTCGCAGCTTGCACGGGCTTCCTCGCGGACATCTGGCAGCGGGGCCATGCAGGCAGCGAGGAATGTAACGAGCTGTGCAGATGGGAGGTGCTGCAGCTCAGGTTGCAGCCCGTGGGGCAGGGAGTCAGTGTTTTGTTTATAAACACAGGCGGGATGATTAAGATAAGAAGGGGATGGTAATTAAATTAAATTAAGGCTCTGGAAGTCGTTAGATGAGCCTGAAAGCCTTGCCAGTCGCTTTAATTCCTGGCTCTGCAGAACAGGGGCTCTCTGTGGTCGAGCACCGGAGGGTGACCGAGGGACCAAGGGGCTCTTTCAGCAGCTCAGTGAAGAAGAGACACACACGGTTATACCCCAAAAAGGGGGATGTGAGGGAGCCAGGTGAGAGGAAAGCCCCAGAGCACAGCAGGAGGAAGGGGAAGGTGTGCAACCTCTGCTTCTCCCCCTTCCAGAGCTCAAACTGGAGCTAAGACAGCGGGGGACAAAGGACCTGGATCCCCCCTGGGATGCAGCACACAGCAGGACACCCGTCCCACCTGCTGGGCGCAGGCTGGGGCAGCAAGTTTGGGGTAAAACGGGTTAGCAAGCAGTTTTTGGAAGTGTTTATGTCTCCAGCTCGGAGGCTGCAGCTCTACCTGTGCCAGCTCAGAGCAAACGACAGCAGCAACACCCAGAGCCGACAAGTCCGCCCCGCGGGGCACGGCACGCCTGGCCACGCACCCGGGGATGACGGCTCCTGCTATGGGGCTGCGGGTTTGCCTTGAAATCCTGCCCCCGTTTGTTTTGTTTTCCTGCTTGCAATGGCACTGGTATACCTTAATATATTTTTTTCTGCTACGCAGATGGGGTAAATTGATTTTAGGAATATTTGTATCACCTTGGGAAGGGGGAACGGGCTGAGTAATGGCAGGAGCAGCTGCTGTGTAAGCTAATGGCTTGTGGCTGCGTGGTGAGGGCCGAATCCGGCCCCTGGCATGGGCTGGCTCTGGAGGCTGTACTGGGGGCTCAGCACCCCGTCTGTAGCCCTGGGTGGGCACCTGGCTACCACCACTGGTCCTTGTCACCATGTCGAGGCTGGTGGGACACCCCAAGGGAGGTTTCACCCCATCCCTGGGGGAAAGCTGAGCTCCCTGGGGACCCCGAGGGGAAGCCTGATCCCCTGAAGGTGGGCTGGGACACTGGGGGGAGTATGGGTGTTTCCCTCCCACTGTTCCCCCCAATTAGTCTCCCATCTCCTTTTTCTCCTCTACAAAGTGCTTCATTAATCTGCTGGGGGTGTTAATGCCGGGCTGAGCTGCAGAGGGTGCCCCCCCGCCCCTCGCAGCCCTCAGCCCTGCGCACTAACAGGTTTTTGCTGCGCTGTCACGGCTGTTAAGGCCACAAAGGCTGTGGTAATGTGAGCTTCTGGGGCCGTTGTCCGTCGAGGCCCGCGTACCCCAGGCCCTTTTGAAGGCAGGAATTTGGCTGAGCGTGACCAAGCTTGTCCCAGCGATGGCCCTGCTCCCCCAAGGTCAGGGACATGCGGCTGGGGGGGTGCTGGGGACGCTGGTGGGCACAAAGGGGCTTAAGCCTGGTTTAGGACAATAGGTTTTGTGTGTGTGGTTATTCCAGTGCCTTCTGGTTGCTCTCTCTCAGGGGACAACTGGGTGATCACACACTGGAGGAGAGGCTGGCATGGGCAAGGCAAAAGGGACCAGGACTCATTGGGGTGCAGGATTGCACCCCCGTGCTGGGCTCACCAGGACCCGGGGTCTGCTCCAGGCACCTGTGGGAGATGGATAAGAGGCAGGTGGGATGCAGGAGGTGCTGGCAGGGCTCTCTCGGGGGGCTGCAGACACAAATGTCCCCTGCCCCTTGCCCCAGCAACACCCCAAACTCATGGTCCCCTCCCCAGTGCTGGAGCCGACTGCGTGTGCCGTGTCGCGGCGTGGAGGAGCCCAGCTGTGGCTTTGAGCACTGCTGCTGGCCACGCTCCAACCCGGATTTCAAAGCAGCCGCCGGCTCTCTCCTGGGATGCGAGGTGGCTTCGGGGGGACTGGGGCAGCTTTGTAATTTGAAACAGTGGGGTTAGCCGGGAATGTGCCGCCGGCCCCGGCCATACAAGGGAAGAGGATCTCACTGTGTGCATGGAGCTGCATTCCCCATCCTGCCCCAGCACAGCCGAGGGCAAGGAGTCCCCGGCACCCGTTGGCACCCAGGGGTGCTTCTGAAGCACCCACAGCTCCCCACTGGCAGCAGCACAAGGGCACACGCTGCATCCTTGCCATCCCCATGCTGCTGCAGGTTGGGGTTGGGTTTCTCTCCCTCTTGTTTTCCACCATGGGCTGAAACTGTATTCCGGGGCAGGGGGAATTTGCGGCAGCAGATGGTGGGGAAGAGAGAAAAGGATGGAGCACAGCCTGTGGGCACAGGAACCCAACACCCCAGGAGGGAGCATGAAGTGAGCTGCCTAAGGTGACCAGCCTGAAATGCTTTCAGTGTCACAAATGCACGGTGCTGTCCTGCCTTCCCTGCACGCATAACTGCAGGCAAGCAGTGATCCCACTCCGGCTGCATTTCTCCTCTATTTCTTTCTCTTTTTCCCTCTTTCTCTCTTCCCTCTCTAAAACAAAGATGTTTCCCCAGATGCACTGGTCCCCATCCAACAGCTCCTTTTGTCTTTGTCTCTTTTAGTTTATTTTTTTATTATTACTATTTTTTTTTTCTTTTTTCTCCATAGTCATTTGCTGTCCTCCCAGGCTCGGCACAGGGCGCCTTGTTATAGTGGAGAAGTTGGCTGAGGGTGCCAGGCTCCTCATGGTGGTGACGCAGAGGGATGCTGCCTACAGCAAAGATGCTAAAAACCAAATTGATGGGTGTAAGGGCTGCTCTTGGGTGGCAGCAGCTCCTGCTGTCCCTTGCTCTGGGGCAGGACTCACAAGGGACACCGTGCTGTGATGTCCTGGGCTGCCCATGTCACCCAGGCAGGCCCCTTCTGAGCTGCTCAGCTGTAGCTGCTGTGTGGTCACCGAGGGTCCTGTGCCTGGTCCTGGCTGTCCGTCTGTCCCAATAACCCTGCGAAAATGTTGGGTGTTTGGATGCAGACCCTGGTCTCTTCCAGCTGCCGTGAGCTGCTCTAGGAAAAGAAACCAGCCCTCCCCATATGCCTGCCCTCACTTAACTCTGCAAGAGGAAATTTTCTCCCGAGTTCCAGGGATTGCAGAACATTTTTGATGGGAGGGAGATATGGAAAGCTAACCTGACCTTTTCAACCAGGGAATGGCTGCTTCCCTGCAAGCCCGTTTCACAAAAAAAAAAAAAAAAAAAAAAGTTGTGTTTTATTTTCCTCCCAATGCAGCACTGAAAACAAACATCCAAACCTCAGCCTTTGCTACAAAGCACAATTGTCTCTCCGGGGCAGCTCTTATACATTTCTATCCGGTCCTGCCTCCCCGTGCTGCTCCCCGCCTCTCTGAGGGCTCGGGGAGTGCGGTGGGATCAGCCTGGGAAGTTATTCTGTTCCCACCAAACACCTTGGCTAGCTGTGGAGTCCTTTTATTGCTGGGATGTCATTCACACTGTGCTTGTTTAACACACATACCAGCTGCCTCTTTTCATGCTACTGCTCTGAGAACGGAGATTCACAAGGACAGAGCTCATCTGAAGTTCACAGGAAGATGGGCTTGGACGGGGACGTGGGATGTAAATCCCCTCGCACGCTGCATATATTTGCATCTGCATCTGAATTTGCATCCTCTCTCTCATCACAAGATTCCCCCGTTGTGGCCTGCTGGGGAAACGCCATGCATCCTCGTGGGTTGAGTTTGTTGTTGTTTTCTATTTTTTCTCACTGTTGATGACTGGGTTGCTTTGCAATTTTTTTATTTTTTTATTTTTTTTTTTTTTGGGGGGGTGGGGGGGGGCGGGGGTTCTACAATGACCAAACAAGGACTTTTCCAATCAAAAAAAAGTGACTGCTGCTCAGCCAAACCTGCAGCACCCGGATTGTCACCATCTCCTTGGGCAGCCACGACACGGCACATGCATGGAGCAAGCTCCTCCTCAGCCACTGTGGCTGTTTTCCCACTTTGGGACATAACAGAAGATCCTTTCAACAACATTTCCTTTGAAAAATAATCCATCTAACTCTGTTTTTGGAAAGTGCTCCATGCTCTGCACAGGAAGAAGTTAATTACTGTCCAGGGGGTGAGGGCGTGTGTTCTCAAATGTTTTAAATGTTTAATTTTCTTGAAAGAAAAACCATCTCTGATCTCTGTTGGATCCTCTCCCTGTTTATACAGAGGGTTTCTATTAGCAGGGCCAACAGTACATCCCTGACCGCCACGTCCGTGTCCTTTCCTTCTTCCCTCAAAACAGGAACCCCTCCCGAGGGGTGTGTGTCCCACCTCTCCGTGTGCCTCTCTGGGGACGGGGACAGCCCGTGCCCCCCTGCCTGCGCCTGCCTCACCCCAAGCTGGGGGAAACTCACTTCCACCACTGCAACTTTTCATTTTCTGCCCATTTTCCAGGAAGAGGGGTGAGGAGGGGTGGGTTTCCCCATTGACAGCCCCTTTCTGGTGGGAGGCTCTGGGCAAAGCACCCCCAAGACCTTTGCTGGTGGGTTCAAGGCAAGTCCTGCTCAAGCAGCTGGGGATGGGCCATGCCTGGGAGGTATCCACAGCTATTTCAGAGCAAGTTTCCAAGCAGAGGCTGTCCCACAGCTCTCCCTGCCTCCCTGTCCTGGAGAGAAGTGCTGGTTGTAAGGACATTGTTAGCTTTCCCCTCTCCTAATGGGATTTGGGGTCTCTCCTCCATCCCATTTCCACCATGAATGGGACAGGCTCCCAGACCCACCTGGGGGGAGTCCTAGACACTTCTTGGGGTGCTTTATGGGGTGCTGAGCACCCCTAGGTGTGGAGGCTGTGGGGAAATGGGCTCTTTGGAGGGTCAGCCCCGAGTACCCATCAGTGCCTGCTGGAACACCCCGAGCCCCACAAACTGTTCCAGAGGAATTGCTTTCTTATGTTACTGCTGCTTATCTCAGCTGGTGCCGCTATCAGGGCATTGTCAGGGTTGCTCATTTAATGCTGATGAGGGGATAATGAGAATGGCCACCAGTGCTGTAACAGCCATCTGATTTTTCATGTTTTGTGGTCAGGAAGAGGTGACTAATAGGAAGGGATGGGGAGCGGTGCTCGGGGAGCGTGCCGGCCGCTTGTGGTGGCATTTCCAGGGCTGGAGGCCGAGCGAGCTGCAGGGCCCCCTGATTTCAGATCTTGTTTCACGAGGAGCTCAGGGCTGGGGCTGCCACCTTCCAGGGACCTGTATCTGACAACATTGCACCAGGGAGGATGGTCTTGGGATCCTGTCCACGTCCAGGAGGGGCTGGAGCAGAGGGGGACGTTGGGGTGACAAGGAGGACTTTGAAGGCTCTGTAGGCCGGGCCTCATGGCTGTGTCTCCTGGAGGGGTCTCAAAATCTCCCAGCTTTAATTTCCAGTGAGCCAGCTCCTCCAGAGCTGATTCAACTGGTATCTCACACTTGTGGCTTGCATGTTTGAAAGTGTCAGAACAAACCCCTGAGCTGCCCGTGTCCAACACCAGCCATATTTTGGGCCCACAACATCCGTTCTGTGCTCGGGACGAGGAAAAATCCCTCCACAGTGAACAAACCTGGCTGGCGCACTCAAACTGAGGGCCCATGCCCAGCTGAGCAGGGCTGGATGAACCCAGCGAGGAAGGTGGCCTCAGAGCAATGATGCAGGGGGAGAACTGGGGAAGGAGAGAGCAGAAGGGAGAGGGCACCAAAAGCTTCTGCAGCCAGGGTAGAGGATGTGTGGGGAGCTGTCAGACGTGCCCCC